GGCATACTTTGTATATGCCTTCCCACTTGGGAATTTGGGATGTCACCACCTCAAGAAAGGTCTGAGGTTGGTCAGACAAGATCTACCCTGTCTTAATGCATGCTGAAATGCCCTAGCAAGCCACTCAGTTAAGAGAAGAGGATGGGAAATAAAGGCTGGGCCTGCCAGTGGAACCCAAATCCAACGTCTCGTTGTATCTTGGTAAAGATAGTGAATACCATATTGAAGTTGACACACTCAGTGAGGTTAAATTATTTTATTAATGAAAAATTTTTGGAACAGGAGCAGTAGAAATTTATATTTTACATGGATTTTAATCTCCAATGTTCTCAGTACTCTGACTTTTCATCTTCTTTATTTTAAGCTTCATATCTTAATGACTCACTGCGAGGGCTTGTCCAGGTCAAGGAGCTGTTTGGTGATGCATGCTGACTGCTGGAAACATGTTTGTCTCTGCAAATTGCTGTAGGGTTGCTTTTAGAAGCAGCCGGTGATGTGCAAGCGCAGAGAAGCATTCAGACTGTTTACTTTCACTTTCATATAATCCTTGCTGGATTTGTTTTTGATTTTGTACACATTCACTACCTTTCAGAGCAGAAGGCTGTTTCCTGCAAAAAATTGCACAAAGAGCCGTAAAGGAATTTTTGTGGTTGAGGGAATATAGCGGAAATTGTTCGCGTTTTGAAAAACATTTCACCAAGCCCCTTGGATTTGAAGAATTGAGTAAAGTTGTTTTAAATAGTCTTATCACTGTGCAGATGGTAACAGGAAAATCTCCATTGCTGACAATAAGCTACAGAAAGTAAAGGGCTGACATCCCATTATGTCTTTGAATTAATGTAACCCTCAGGAGACCCTGTCTGACTGCGGTCGGTCTAGTTGGAACTTGCATCTTTTAGCCTATTTGGTGTAATTTTGACATTATTGATATTTCGCCTAAATTGTACAATTCAAAAATTAAACAAGTCAACAATTAAGGTTATTTGTAAATTTTTGGTTCCTTTTTTGAAATGTATTCATTAGAAGCATCAGCTCTTGTGCGCTGTACAGTGGGAGAATAAAGAACAAGAATTATAGTGAGTATCTGCCCTTCACTCATCATTCTTTTGAATATTCCTTGGACCTCATTCACCTGTGAAATAATTTGATAAATAAGAATAATCCTTAAACTTCTTTCACGTCAGGAGGACCACTGAAAGTGTATACTGTAAAGTGTAGTGACTGTGTATTTTGTAAGTAAATGTTAAGGTTGTTATGAAAGATTGGGGTGTAACATTTTCTCACCAAGTATTACCCTCTTTTACATATTATTCACCTGTAGAATCATAAAATCATGTAGGATTGCCTTTAATTTGTTATGAAAGAATGGTGAAGTAGGATCTTAAAAGTTCAGCAAAAACATTGCCTGTGGCTATCATTAACAATTCACCAGATGGTGCTTTCTTTTAAAAACCCAAGAGAAGACCTAAAGTCTACTTGGAAAAAAAAGTTTATCCAGAATTTGGTGTTTTCTAATTGGCAAACCAAACACACTCACAATAGTTAAAGAGATATTTTCAGAGGAACAACAAAAAAATTTTAATTCAGCTTTACTGAAAACTTCTCATTTAAAATACACTCAACAACAGCAACAGCAAAAAGAAATTACATTCATATGGCGGAGTCCTGTAGCTCAGTGTTAGAGCACTCACCTCACAAGCGAGAAACCTAGGTTTGATTCCCGGCAGGGCAAAACATTGGGCAAGTCTCCTTACTCCACACACCCCTGTTTACCTAGCAATAAGCAGGAACCTGGTTGTTAGTCATTTGGTGGATCACTTTTCCGGAGGTAATAATTCCTTAAAAAAAATAATAAATTGATCACTCAATCCACGACCGTTTGTGGGACACTGCTGTGCACAATTGGCTTCTGCATTTCGCCCACAAAATATACAGTCAATTCACTTTACAGTATATTCTGTGAAGCGCTTTGAGACATCTCAAAGACATAATAAGGTGCTGGATCAAATGCATGTATTATTATTATATACCACCTTTCACGTCAGGAGGATGTCTCAAAGCACTTCACAGGATTTACTGTGAAATGGAGGGTCTGTATATTTGTAGGCGAACGTGGCAGCCCAATTGCACGCAGCAAATATCCCACAAACAGCTGTGAAACGAATAAAAAATATTTATTCGGGGGATTGTTGGCCAGGACACCGGGAGATAGAAACTCCCTTTGAATAGTGCCACGGGATCTATAACGCCCGCCCACCTGAACAGGCAGACCGGACCTCGGTTTAATGTCTCGTCTGAACTCAGCCTGTAAATCAGCGTCTACTCCTTACTTATGGAACCCAATATTATGCATCATTAGCACTGCCCGAGTGAAGGACGCTATATAAATTCAAGTTGTTGCTGTATCATTCCAACACCCTTTTGTAACTTGAGCTGTTGTAGTTCAATAAATTCTAACGATTAACCAACATCTCTGGGGCCGAACTGCTCGCATGTACATTTTCAAACTACCATCTTCAGTCAGTTTTGTTGTGGCGTTTTACCTGTGATGTATCAGAAGGTAATGCAGTATTGTACAGTTGTACATTATGACTTACCTGGTAGAAGTACTCATTCATTTTGAAATCCCTTTGTATTAGTGACATAGACTTAACTATTTTCTGTGAGTTTATTACATTCATTCATTACTTTACAAAGGCGGGAAATTCTGCTGATCACTTTTCTTACTTTAGGCTTATTGGATTTGCTATGTGTTGTATCTGTTATGAAGTCAAATAGTGTTCTTACATCTATTATAAATCCCATTTCCCTTGCACTTCAATTACTTTAATCGCATGCCCTTTTAATCTTTAGTCAGAAGAAAATAAATTCAGCTCAGAGAATCTTGACTCATGTTGGAGGCCGTGACCATCCTTCTTGGGATGGGGGGGAGGTGAGCTGAACTGGCTCCAAGGTGACATGTTTGGGAACTGATTGTCGGAATCGAGCCAGCCCTCTGTGGCAGTCTCTTTAGTCTGGTTTCTGAGCCAGGTGGGTCCGCAGTATTCCAGGGCACCGCTGATGATAGGTTGGCACGTCAGCCGGACTGGAAGGGCAGACCAATTATTGGTGGATTCTTCCCACTCAGCTCCTGTTAGCCCTGTAAGCCAAAGCCCTAACGGATATGGTGGTCCCAGCTGAACAAGCAGAGGGAAAGCTTGCCAGGCAGCACTCTTGATGCCGGGCTATGCAGTTTTAAGTGGTTAGACTCCAGCATCACCCCAACGCACACTCTTGAGGTCCCCAATCCTTGGTTCTTAATAATCTGCACCTAATACCTTCCAGAATTAGGTAATCACTATGCGTCCCTCCAGGAAGAGAGTATGTTTTCCGTTTCAAGAAGTCTCTGGAATTTCCATGAGTAGTGGGATGTATGAAAATCCAGTTTGTTTTGGATACTCTTAAACATCATGATGCGTTTCCGCATATTCAGATACCCACCTGACCAAAAAAAAAGAACCATCCACGTTGCACCACTCTGAAACCTTTACAAAGCTCTTCTGAAGCTATGATGCTCAAAATCTCAAGGCCAGCACAGGGGTTTACATTTTGAAAATGCAATTTATGTCACAAAGCACTTTATCTGGTGGTGAGACACCAGGCAGGTCAATAGGCTCACTTGTTAAACCCTCTTATTCTATATAGTATTTTAAAACCATCAGAAATATATTGCTACAGTCACTGCATCTCAACCCCGTTTTGCCTCTAATCAATCATGTGTCTCATTCCACCCATAGTGTTAAAGTGAACACTCCATCAATGTGTACTGTGCATCATTCCTAGCTGTCGAAGCCTTGAACTTTCTCCCAACTTTTGATGTTCCCACTCTGAGAATAATTGCTTGGAGATGTAACAAGAGTGGCTGCAGGGTAACTCCCTCTGATCTTGTCTGCTTGTCGTATTACTGTGCAATGGGAGCAGGGAGGTCCGTCTCTGGTTGCTCAAATTCATGCACAAATATCAGTTCACCTGCCTCAAACCATCAGATGAATAGATGAACATTTACCGACTGAAGATATCAGATGAACGTTAATGCATTGGTAAAACACCAAGAGTTCACTTTCATTTCAGTTATATAAAGCAGTCTGCACTAGGAGCATTTCTGCCACAACAACTTGCATTTATATAGTGCCCTTCACTTCTTGAAGTTGGCCCTGCTTTTGCTGGTGCCAGGTGTCACTGGTGCTTGAAGATACAGGATAGAGATAGTGTTAACAGGCTTTTTCCTGTTATGCACATGCATTTAGGTTTTGTGAAGAAATGTCAGCCTTTGTTATTAGAAATCTTGATAATAGTGGTTGTACAACCTCATGGCTGAGATACACAAGCAGTTTTTCTGTGATTCTACATGTCGCATATTCATGCTGGCTCCTTTAGACATCCATAGCCTGTTGATCCTAATTTTCCTCTCATCTTCTGATACCGAGTAAGATCAAAGAAAAATTGGTCTTTCATCAACGATAGAAGTATAAATGAGGAAATAGTTTTTTTTGGTCAGCTGGATATGTGCCAAACGCAGAAACCCATCATCATACTTAAGAGTATCCAAATGAAGTTATCTAAGAGTTCCACAATATACATGGAAATTTCTGTGCCTGGAATGAAATAGGCACTCTCTCCCAAGAGGGATGCACCTTGCTCACCTAAGCCTGAAAAGTATTAGGTTTGCAAGAGCCAAGACTTAGGGACCCCAGGTGTACTGCTGGGGTTTAACCAATTAAAACTGGTTATGTTGCATTTGCAAACATTAAACAAACTCCCTTCTGCCTGTACAGCTAGGACCATCTTATCCTGGTTTACAGGATAATTGAGGTAGCAGTAGCAGTAACATTGAAGAGGGTTTGCACTACTATGAAGTATTTCAATTGCAGGAACAAAGTTTATAATGTGTTGAGGAAGTAGGAGAAACATTGAAGAGGGGCTGCATTATTACTAAATGTTGAATTTTGGTTTCCATTCAGGTTGCCTTACAGTGCAGGAAGGATCTAGACAAACTGCACAAATTTGAGCAGAAACAACTACATCGTTTGCTGTTGGTGAATCATGAGGAAGCCTCTGCAAGGGTCCAGAGGGAACTAGTTGTGCGCCTGAGGCACGAACTTCAAAACGTAGTCTTTGACCAGCTGAAGGAAGTCACCAGGAAGGAAGAATTGGATAAGGCTGCAGTCAGTCGACATTTGTACCAGAACTGGTGCATTCAGGTAGAAAGAGATAACTTTACTAATGTATTAGTCTTTATAAACTTTGATTGAAAAGTTAACAATTTGTTTAAATGGCTAAATGACAAGGGGAGCTACTTTGAAGTTGGTGGCTGAGAATTTTTAAATGGGATTGAAAAACTAAACCTAGAACAATGCTATAGGATTCATCAAGACAGTAGAACAAGAGGACATAGGTTTAGAGTTTCACAGGGCTATTTCAGCACAGATACCAGGATGTTTTTCTTTACCCAGAGAGTAATTAATTACTGGAGCAGGTTGCCAGGAAGGGTAGTTGAGGGCAGGACACTGGACCCATTTAAAAAGCATCTTGATGCTGTATTGATGTGTATTCTCTGGGACACTATCCACTGTGAAGGGTGCTATATAGATGCAAGTTGTTGTTGTTATTCCAGTGCCTTGGGACGTCCTCCCGACGTGAAAGGTAATTTTGTTGTCATTGTTGTTGTTAACCTGGAAGATTTGGATCAGATGGGCTGAAGCGTCTTCATCATCCAATCCGATCTTGTGAAAGTTAGGACTCCCATTGTTTGTTATTCTGTCACCCTGAAATAAACATTTCATTCCGATGTCAGATTACCTGTAATGTTTACAATATAGAACAATATTGTTTGAAATGAAAGTAAATCATTTTAGGTAGTGTAATTTGCCCACTCCTTTACTTCCATTCTGTCTTCTGTCCTTTATGATGTATTTCTGGTTTTGCTTTTACTTCATTTCCGCCAACTGTAACCTAATCTAACTAAAAACAACTACTTTAAAGCATTCACTTACCTCTCGGGCTCAGCTGCAAGAGTGCCACAATCCATCAACAACAAGATTACATTTGTATAGTGCCTTTCACGTCAGGAGGACGTCCCAAGGCGCTGGACAGAGTACAGCATTTCACACTTTGGAGGTTAAGCTAAATATAAAACAATCTTCAATTAGCTGAAACAAGTTCCATTTCCAGTTCTTGAACCATTTTCAAGGTTTACTTGAAGCAATGGCTTCCCACAGTGAGTTCATTTGTCATCTCAATGTAGTACTTTGCATTTCCATTAAATCTCACTTTGAAACCAATGATACCAAACCATGAAAATGTCACTGACCACAGCTTGCTATTAGATCTGGTGTCAATTCACCTCATTAGATACGAAGATGTGAAAGTGATTCTCATTTCATGTACCACACTAGCATCAGAATTCTATTTACTTCAGGATGTTTTAATGTCTTTCTTCTATGCAGCTCCTCAGGCCGGGAAGCATTGCAAATGTCGCTGTGTTGATGTTAAAAGGAGCCCTATAAATGGTGCTAGCATTATCTTGAGTTACTTTGTTCTTAAAGGACTGAAACTCAATTTTGCAGTTTTCATAAACTGTAGACTAAAGTGCTTTTTTATTGTTAACAATATTACTTTGTTTAGATGGGGATCATGAAGTATTAAGAGATAAGAAGTATATCGGTGTCAAGTGGATCCAGATCAAAATGGGATATGAGTCAGCAGCTAATAATAGAATAGAGAAGGTAGGGGAAAGTGGTCCAACGGGATCAGCTGTTTGTTTCGATTTCCTGTTAAAAGAGACTGGGTCTGTAATTGGCAGAAACAAAGTCCTTTCAGACTAAAACATTTTCCTCTTAAGGATTGCTAAGAAAGGAATTACATTATTGGGGTCTGGTTTGTGTCATTTATTAATGAAGTTCCAAATTCTGCAAATTGGTATGTCATGGCAATCCGTGAGAACTTTATTCCAACTTGAGGAAGAGTTATAATAAGAATAAGAATTATCACATTTGATATAGCGCTTTCCACTTCACGAGAATGACTCATAGTGCTTTACAGGATCCACTGGAAACCTTAGTGACTATGTATTTGTAGGTGAATGCTGGGAACTCCCCTGAGGTGCCCGGAATTCTAGGAATCCATTAAGAAATACTGTGCATTAGTCCCCATTATCATTTATGTGGTAATTTTTATGGAGTCACTGAGATTGGGTCTCATCAATTTCTGTTTAAAGAATTGCTGTTTACAAGATACTTACTGAGTAAAACATAGAATAATAATCCTTAATTGTTAGATTTGGTACAGCGCCTTTCACTTCAGGATATATCAAAGTGCAGTGATTGTGTGTTTCAGCGGCTTGGAACGTCCTATGACTTGAAAGGCGCTATACAAATGTAATCTTGTTGTTTTGTGGGTGAACATGGCAGCCAATTTAGTGCGCAACCATGTCCCAAAAATAGGTATGAAATAAATTAAGTTCAAAGTGTTTCCCAACAATTGTTTTTGTTTGAATTATTACAAATATTTATCAAGATCATGAAGGTGAAAATGCTCATTGATTTTGAAATCCTAATTATAATATTGGCTTCCGTGTAGGAACCTTGAATGGATTATGAATTGCTGTATTGTTTGTCTTGTGTGCAGAACCCTGGATACAAGTCACAAATTATTCCAGAAGACTTCATTGAATCCTAGAAAGGCGTCATTCAGTCTGAAATGTTTACAAGCCTGTGTTTTTTTTGATTAAACATATTTGTAATTTAGTCTCTCTGAGTCTTAACCTCTTTACAGTTTCAGTTGGAGGAGTTGATGGATCGGCAATTGTCTTTCCAGAGACAGATACTTGCAGAGGATCTCGCTCATAAGAAATACCTAGCAAACAGGATACAGAGGTGTGTGAACCAGAGAAGTAACCTTGTGAACACAACAGCCTGTCAGATATCGGTCCTCATCAATCGAATGAAAAAGTAAGACATGGTTGTTGCTCAAAACAAATATATAAAGTTAATATCCATTGTAGATTCTGCCTTGAATACTGTCTGCTTGACTTAAGGCTATGGTTGCAGGCAGAGTTTTTATAATGATATATTCATTCACTTGGCTAAGTTACATGGATAATTGAAATGCAAGACAGAAAGTCAGTGTAATTGAAATAGCTCAATAAATAACACTGTAAAATTAGATTAGCCTGACTAAGAAATGTATTGAAAAGCAGATTTACCATCATGCTAAATATACACTGGAATTGGTGAACTGTATACAGTATATAGTTTGGGGCACAACATGTCAAGCGACTGTCAGGATGGTAGAAAGTGAACTAGATGGACCTTGGTCTTCTTTTGCCTAGCAAATTCTTATGTTCTTAATGTTCCTAATATCATCTAACAACAATAACAACTGGATTTATATCGCCCTCCACGCCGAATGGCGTCTCAGAGCACTTCACAGTAACGAGTCCCGATGCCGGGCCAGGGGAAGGGGGAGGGGGAAGAAGGTGACCAAAGGCATGGTTGAACAGCCGAGACCTGAAAATAGGAAGAGAGGGGGCGAGGCGAAGAGAGTGAGGAAGGAAGTTCCAGAGCCTCAGGGCGTAGTGGCTGAAGGCACGGCCGCCTTTGGTAGAGCGGAGGACTAGGGGGACAAGGAGGAGGCCAGACCCAGTGGAACAAAGGCAACGGGCACTGTTTTGAGGAGGGAGGAGGTCAGAGAGGTAGGGGGGTGCAGAGGAGTGGAGAGATTTGAAGACAAGGGTGAGGATCTTGATGTCGATTCTCTCTGGGACAGGCATCCAGTGCAGTCTTGCAAGGACTGGGATAATTGGGGAGCGGAGTTTGGTGCGGGTAAGAATGCGGGCGGCAGAGTTTTGTATTACCTGGATTTTATGGATGGTAGTGGAGGGGAGACCGGCGAGGAGGGCATTTGAATAGTTCAGCTGAGAGGTGACAAAGGCATGGAACAGGGTTTCAGTGGCTTTTGGAGTGCGGTATTGGTGGAGGCAGGTGATCCATCTAGAGTTCCAGTCAGTCAGCATAAAAGTTCTCAACAAGGTTAAAAAATCTTTGCTTTTACTTTGAGAAATTTACAGCCGCAATGAACATTTAATATAACCTTTTAAGTAATAAATGCTTTTATCATTAAGTGTCTTGTTAACCTCTTGCATCATCAGCTCCATACGAATAGTCAGCCTAAAGATCATCAGAAAACACAATGTTGTAAATCAGATGTTGCTAGAATTTAGTTGGTGGGTAGACTATTGGAATATCTTCCAACCCATTTTATAGCCTAGTTTGTAAGCACAGTGATGTGCCATATGTGTCATGATCTGATAATGTCATCATTTAGTTGGCAGGCTTGTACTGACTAATTTTATAATGGCTATTGAAAGCTTGCTAAAAAGATTCGAACCATAGAGGTTTAAACCCAAAGAAGGTTATATGGTGCATCATAAAATGGATTTCTGAGAAATTACTATCCATTCAGTCCCATTCTCTTACCCTAACCCATGCCTTTTTTAAATTTATTCTTGTTAGTTATTTATTTAGTCTCTTCAAAGCTAATATCGATTCTGTCAACTATCGCATTAGGAAAGGCAATCCACATTTTAACAATCATCTTGGCAAGATAAAGAATCTCTCCTTTTGCTCTTTGATAATTAGTTTAAACGTATGCATTCTGGTTATTGACTCACTGACTAGTGGACTTTTTTTTTCTGTTTACTTTATCAAAATCCCTCATAACTTTAAAAATCTTTTATCAGGCCTCTTCTCAACCTTCTCCATTCTCAGTTCCTTCAGTCTCTCCTCAGAAGTAAAACTTCTCATCCGTGGTATGATAGTGATTCTCTTCTATACCCAATCTGTGATCCTGACATCCTTCCTGTAGTGGGGTGCCCCAAAACTGGCCACAATATTCCCAATTTTATACATGTTTAATTAAAGTTTTAGTTTAATTTTACAACAACAACTTGCATATATATAGTGCCTTTGCACTCAGGTTAGGTCCCAGAGAGCTTTTACAGCTTGATTGGCTACTAATTCCAATTACTTTGTCCTCTGCAAGTCTTTCTTTTTCTGATGGTGGTGGATATAATGGTATCTACACCAAGACACAACGGAAACAATGACTGACAAAGGAAACTGCTCTGTCTCTATAGAGACATTGCGAAAGAGCACTTTCACATTTCCTTTTACTCGGATCCAAAGCTTTCATCCAAGTTACTCTGTGCATATCACAATGTGCTCTTTCCCAATACACAGAGTAACTTGGATGAAAGTTTTGGATCCAAGCAAAAGTAAATCAATCATTTTGATCTGCAATAGGAGTGTAGTGTCTTGTACAGTATGTGTGATATGTGCACATCAGCTATTTCCTTTAATTCATCAGAGCATGAAAGGAGAATCAATAGCCCCAGAGATCAATACTTCTAGATGTTCACATCAACCAATCTTCAAGGTTCACTGCCTAGTCATCTTCCTATGTTCCTATATGTATGTATTATGTACACACACATATATGACTCCTTTAGTAGAATTTCTGTATTGTACCTTTAAGTCTTCTTAGTCTCATTATTAAGTAGGTAGGTTTATACACCAAATTCTACAGACCAGCATATTTTGCTGATCAATTGGGGTAGAGGTAAATAATTTACCTCTATTTTTATCGTGATAATTTTAGAGCCTTGTTGCCTAGGCAGTTGAATGCTTAATAAAAAGTTACCTAGTTCATCAATACATTAGGCTCAGGCTTTTTATCGCCTTGTATATCATTTATACATATGTATGAACACATACATATTTATTTGTACCTTAGTTAATTTTAATAAGCGAAGTAAAGTTAAAGTGAAAACCTTCTAGGTGAACAGCAGTCAGGAAGGTCTTGGAGAAGTGAATTTACTGTTGGCCTGAACAGTGTTGATGCGCTATTAGCATCAGTGACACGTGTACCATCGCATAATGTATGTCCAAACCATGCTCTCATAATTGGCAGTTCTCACTGTAACAATATTTTTTTGTTTATTACCTAAATTTGATTGTCAAAATGTACCTGCAACTGTAGTGGGAATGGTGTCCTAGCTGGATAAGCAGCAGGATGCTTGCCAGACAATGTGTCAATGTGGGTTTAGCTCATTAGACTCCAGCAGCACCCCAACACACACTCTCGGCTTCCCCAAGTCTTGGCTCTTGCCAACATGCACCTAATACTTTCCGGAATTCAGTAAGCAGCATGTGTACGTCCAGGGAGAGAGTGCGCATTCCATTCCAATAGATGGGAATAGGTGAGATGCATAGAACTCTGTTTGGTTTGGAATACTCTTAAGCACAATGATGGGCTTCCATGTCATATACCAAGCTGACCCAAAAAAGGAATTTAAATTGTGTTAATTTTTCTTTAACAGAGCTATTTTGGGAGTATTCCGTTTTTTAGTGCGAGGTAATACACATTTAAATTTTCAACCTCGAAAAGGGTATATTGATTTCTTAAATGCTTCCGTGGATAAATATACACAATGACTGGCATTGCGCCAACAGGCCAGGAGTTCCCATGTTTCATCCCTGGTTCGTGCTTATTCGTCTTATCTTAACTGCGGACAAGGGAGCATTGGATGCTCAAAAGTTGATCATGATCTCTGGGGTGGTGGAGGAGAGGGGGGAGGGGATGGTCGCATTAAAAATGAGACGGGGTTCACACTCATAACAACTATGCATTGTCCCTGGTGTTTATATGTGCTGACACCAGGCGAATGCAGGTTCCTCCTATACTTGGAATCTCCACTTTCAAATATCCCAAGGACACTCCTATTCCAGACTCACAAATAAACAACAGGCACCTCGGTGAGATATCAGGCAGTCATTCCTAACAACACACCCTTAGATTGGCACAAATTGCTATTGTTGAGGTGAAGAGAAATATTGGCACAGAAGGAAAGTAACTGTTCCATATATGTTTGAGGGAAAGAGGCTGATTTTTTGATCTGGTGATATCCTAATTAACTCCTTTGTGCAATTTAGCGACTTATCATTCTTGTATTTAATATAGGGCCTTATTGAGTTGTCAAGATGCCTTACAATGCTTTACAAGATTTTACTGTTGGTTTTACAGTAATGCTATGATGCACTTTGAGACGCCCTCCCAAAGTGAAAGGCGCTTGTGTACTACTATTGCTGTATCGTAAAGTTGCCAAATTGATTAGCGGTGTTAATTATGACACATCACTTCATCACAAGATTTACCTGAAAAACCCAGATGCACCCTACAAGGTATGAAGGCAATGAACTGAAAAAGGTTGAATTTCTAGTTGTGTCAATAGTGTGCAGTGTTGAAGCTCCAAACATGCTGCATGAATCGTTGGCATGGATCCACATTCAAACACTCCAATGATTCATCAAGGCATGAGTTTACTTGAGTGTATTCCCATTCCTGTAACATACTTCTGTTCACAACCAGACACTGCAGTTATTCAATTCCACTTTGAAGAAGCTAATCGACTCAGCTGGAACAGCTTTGCTGAGATAAATCTTGCTTTGCGTAAAACCTCCAAGGTTTTGAGTGTACCAGGAGCCATCATTTCTTTCTCTTTTAAGTTATGTGGCAAATAATTTTATGCTTGAACAGTTATCCTGTTTATGCCTCCATAAACACGGTACCCATTAACTAGCATGTATATCATTCAGGCAGACACAGGAGAGACTGAGCCAAAGATGTGGAATTCAGCAAAACTAGGGAATTAATTGTGAAGTGCAAGCCAAAAGCACAGAGCATGTATGGTTACTCATTGAGTCTATACACTGTCCATTGTACATATCGACTATTACTAGACTTTCATCTGCAGAGAATGAAGGGAAGATCAATAGGCATGGAAATCAAAATGTGCAACATAACAGTTATTAGACTTTTTAAAAATAACATAAAGTAGAAGCGCCTTGGAACACCATCCCGACGTGAAAGGCGCTATATAAATGCAATTTGTTATCCTTGCTCAGTCGTGTCCGCACCAGATGGACACCTCCTTAAAGGCGCCTTTAGGTCATGGGCAGTAATGGTACCCTGGCTGATTTTTGCCTCTAAGCCAATTGCAGTGAAGGTAGCTATTGATCCTCACCATCTTACTCAGCATAACAAGGATTTGACCGCACAACCTAGTACTACAATCGTTGGAGGAAATGAATATATTTTGTGTTTTTTACAAGTATGTGGCTGTTCCTACATCCTGAAGTGTGGTCACTGTGCAATTTCCAAGCATGAATGAATGTGCAGTTCCAGTACAGTGAAAACTAACCCATAACTACAAGAAAACAGTGAATAACTCATAAAATAATAATTGAATATACTAGTGAAGCGCTAGTGGGAGGTATTTTGTGGAACTGACAATTGTGAAGCCAAAAGTTGAGGACCAATTTGACTGAAGGCTCTGGAATTCTTGGTGGATACACTGCTTATCATGCTAATTTTAGGGCTGTAACGTGAGCAACAAATAAATGATAAAAACAAGTTACTGGTTGGGTATTGGAAAACATTTTGAACTAGCATTTATCGCACCTTAAATTAGCAACACAGGTTGCCAGCTGTAATCTACAATATCCCAGTTTGAATCCTGGGATTTTCAGTAGTCAGTAACTGACAAGGTTTTGTGGGGGGGTCAGCCATCACATGCATAAGAGTATCCAAACTAAACAGAATTCCAATCATTCCACCTATAAGGTAGATTAAATACTAATGGATGTACTGAAGGCAAACTTAAGACTTGGGGGCAACTACATTAACAGCTGAATGAAGCAGCATTAAAACGCAATCACAATTTTGTAGGTGCAATTTATATTCAATAATGGCAGGATTTGAGAAAAATAAGTGATTTATTTATATATATATATTTATATAAACAACATAGCCTCCTTCACGCGGGGCAGTGCCTTGTTGAAATGAAAAAGTCTGCAGAAACTGACCAAATTAGAATTTTGATCACGTTAGTGCTGTTTGCCACATCAATCCCCAAACCTTCTGAATAACCTGCTAACATTTGGATTGTGGCTTTATATGTTAACTTTATATGTGGCTTAAACTATAAACTCCTAGCATAGAAATTTACAAGGCAAAATGAGACCATTTAGTCCATCGCGTCTGCACCAGCTCTCAGAGAAAGATGTTCATTCAATCCCACTGCCCTGCTTTAAATCCATAACGCTTTAAGACTTGATTACCGGTTACCAGCTATATGAGTTATTGTAATCTGAAGTGTACTTTATATGATTTTCTTTAGCATTGATTGTGTGTCAGAAGCTCAAGTGGCGTCTCTGCTGGAGATGATGCAGCAGGAGATGCTTGTTGTGAAGCGGAGGTTAGACGAGGTTGAGAATAAAGAGAAGAAACTACTGCATCGCAATCTCATTAGTGAGAGAAGAAAACTGATTTCAGAAAAAGTAAGTGAACTGAATTTCCATCTGTTCTAGTTTGTAAGTATATCCAGTGAAGCAGGAAGTGTGTCAGCTTCTGCAAGTCAGAGAATCTGCCTCACAGTAATTCTTAGTGAAGAAACAGTTATGGTTATAGAATTATAGAAAGTTTACAGCACAGAAGATTGCCATTCAACCTGTTGTGTCTGTGCTGCTACTAGCATCCCCAGTGAAACTATCTGTTGTAATCCCATTCCCCTGCATCCTTTAATATTGTGTGTCCTCAAATATGTCCTCCCTCTTTAAATTATGTTATAATTGCTGAAGGTGTAGTGAATAAAGCTGCATAGTATGGACCAGGAGCTTGCTGGCTCAAACTCAGGTCAGTGATTAGTTTGCTGGTCCCAGCCCAGGTTGCATCCATGCCCCCCAGCCATACCAGGGATAGGAAGCGACAAACTGGTCAAACTTCCTGTTCCTGATACCTGTTCAGTACCCTTACCGGTTGTGAATGTTTGTGACAGCCGGGTGGGGAAAGGCCAGGCTCGACTGTGACATCCTCTACAGTCGAGTGAGTAGCCTGCCAAAACTCATTGCCAAGGCTCTCGCATGAACAATGCTCAATTGGATGGGATGCTGGAGGGCAACCAGCCCCAGAGGAACCACAAAATAATAATATTAATTTTTGCATTTGATATGGTGTTTATCATGTCATTGACACATCTCAAAGCATTTCACAGGATGTACTGTAAAGTGGATTAACTGTGTATTTTGTGAGCAAAATGTGACAGCCATTTGTGCACAGTAATGTGCTACAAACAGCCATGGAGTGAGTGACCAATTTTACATCCTAGCAAGAGGAAGCCAGACCAGGAGCAGAGAAGCATATGCCGGTAGGAAGTAAATTGGAAAAATAATTGTATACCCAAAACATTTTTAGAAAAGGGAATGGAAAAATTAATAAATTATGTTATGGGCTCAGTATGTTTGGATGAAGAATACTCTTTTGAGCCATTTGATCACATCTTTCCTAATGCCCATCCCAACGTCTCCTAATCACAGTATCCTGGTCTCAACAGCTATTTCTAGGGACACATTTGATGTTCTAACAATCCTCTGTGGTAATACGTTTTCTAATCTACTGATTTTTTATCTTCTGGTGATAATCATGTTACTGACTCTCATCGATGGGCTATATTGTCTTTGGCATTTCAAAGCCCACCTGACTTCTTTCACTGCTTTTGGTCATCTTTGCCGTCTGCGCCTTGTGTCTGTCTGGACAGACGCCAGGAAGTTTTTCTTTACTCAGTGAGTAATTACAGGATTGAAACAAGTTGGGTATTCTGGAAGGATTGGGCTGAAAATATGTCTTCATCTGAACCAATCTTAGGAAACGCATTAAGAAAGAAACATTATAGCACACAAGGAAGGCATTCAGCCTATCATGCCTTTTCCTTTCCAGCTCCACAATAGAGCTATGTGCATAATCCCATTCCCATGCTCTTTCCTCATAGTTCTCTTAATTCCTATATCTTTATCTTTGTCTATTTGCTTCATAAATATTCCTTGGCCGCAAGAATATTTTTGGTGTTTCCTACTACATGGTCAATGTTATTTCCAATTGAGACCTAGCTTTGCCAGGTGGCACATCACCATTTTTTTTCACTGTGTGCTGTTTTCCAGTGAGAGAAGAAATTGAAGCATACATCAGAGCTTTTTATGGTAAAGCCCTAAACTTCAAGAAAGCATGTGATACATCAATGCGAGGTTGCCTCAGAATTGGGTTGGATTACCATATTAAAACCCTATATAAATCAGGAGGGATACACATGATCATGAAGCAATTTGTGCTGGAACCTGTCTGCTGAGAACACTTGGAGCAGGTGGTTCCAACAGGATGTCAATAACAAATTGCATTTATGTAGTACCCTACACACGGGATAGCATCTTGGCGTGTTTAAATGCTGTGGTGGGATTGATTCAAGGTCCTCAAAGCGGTTCCTTTTGGGAAGTCCAATGGACCATTGTTAATGTTTGTAAAGAGATGGTTCTGTGCTCATTTAGTGGAGCTCTCCTCAACCCCAGGCAAAAGAGTTTGAGAGCAGGAAATATCTTGCACCTTATCACTGCATTGCTGAATGAGGTGTTCCATCACTTCCAGCAGTACTGACTGCATGTTGGGCTCATTTTGCACAAATTCTAACAGGTTGACAGTTTTGAACCTGCAGATACTAACTTCTGGGATCAACTTGAAAGCTTTAATAATTCTAGAAAAGTTAGAAACAGCAACAACAACAACGTGCACTTATGTAACGCTCTCTGTGAGTGCTTGACAATGGTGGAGCCCAAGGCTGAGTCAAGGGGAAGGGGAAGGTGACCGTAGGCGTGGTCGAAAAGGAAGGTCTTCAGGCGCAACCTGAATATGGGGAAGAAGGGGGTGAGGCGAATGGAGGTAGTTCCAAAGTTTCAGGGCGTAGTGGCTGAAGACACGGCCGCCAATGGTGGAGCGGAGGATTCGGGGGACACGGAGGAGGACCCAGTAGAGCGGAGGCAGCAGGTACTGGTGTGGGGAGAGAGGAGGTTAGAGAGATAGGGGGGTGCCAGGGAATGGAAGGATTTAAACACAAGAGTGAGGATCTTGGTCGATCCGCTCTGTGACAGGGAGTCAGTGCGGTTGGCAAGGACTGGAGTAATCGGGGACGATGTTTGGTGTGGGCGATGGAGTTTTGAATGAGCTGAATTTTGTGAATAGTGGAGGAGGGGAGACCGGCGAGGAGAGTGTTAGAGTAGTCCAGCCGAGAGGTGACAAAGGCATGGACAAGGGTTTGGGCAGGTTTTGGGGTGAGGTATTGTCGGAGACGGGCAATGTAACAGACGTGGAAGAAAGCGGTGCTGGTCAGGGTCAGACGTGGGGGAGGAAGAATAACTGGGGATCGAACCTGATGCCTAAGTTGCACACAGGTTTGGAGAGTTTTAAGGACAGATTGAGGAGGTCAGAACGTGGGACAGAAGACGTCATCGAGAGCCAAAGAGTTTGGCTTCCGTCTTGTTGACGTTTAACTGCAGGAAATTTGCACTCATTCAGCTCCTGATGTCCGACAGACAAGCTGACAGAACATCAGGGGACTGGGGGTCGCAGCTGAAGTTGAAAAAGTAGAGTTGAGTGTCATCCGATACATGTGAAAGTTAACCCCATGTTTGCGGTGACATCACCGAGAGGGATGGATCCCTGGGGTACCCCGCAGATGACTGGGTGGAAATGCAAAGAAAAGCCATTTGCAGAAATGTAGTGCTGGCTGTTTATAAGGTAGGACTTGAACCAAGCTAGTGGTGTCCCACGGAGGTGGATGATGGAGAAGAGGGGATGGAGGAGGAGGGAGTAATCGACTGTCGAACGCGGCGGAGAGGTCCAGGAGGACAAGGAGGCAGAGGGAGCCCTGGTCACAGATAGAGAGGATATCGTTTGTGACCTTCACGAGTGCTTCCTCTGTACTCTGGGCAGGGCGGAAACCGGACTGGAAAGGTTCGAGTAGAGTGGGGGGAGAGCTGTGCGCGAAGTAACAAACATATTTTATCTTGAAACTGGTATTGATTTTTAACCTGGCAGTATTTCAATTGTGCCATGTAAGAAAACTATATTATTCATATGTCTAATATGGACAGATATTAGTATTCTCTTTATATGTTTCAGATTTGTTCCAAACAAAGGTAGCGTCAAGTGTGTGAGCAGCTCTCCATGGTTCAGCACTATGCATACATTTAGTCTAATGTATTACATTAATACTTGGCTGATAAAAGTGCTATTCATATCATACCTTAATAACTATGCAGAATAAAATGCCTCAGTTTTGGAATGTCAACATTTTGGTAAGAAATCTTCCAAATATAGAAGCATTTAAAGCTGCTCTCCAAAGGATCATTGGAATAATGAAAAGGGAAATTGCTTTTTGCTTTTGAACAAATCAAACCACAGGATAAACAGTTGATGGCAGTATTGCAGCATGTTTTAGTATGAGTTTGGTTCCAGTACTATTTGAAATCTGCCCCATCAAAATCAGTGTCACTCTGCAAAATGCAGGCGGTAACATTTTATTCCGTCTTTCCCCTCGGTTTAACTTTTGCTGTATTTTTGCAATGGGAAGGGATCAAAATTAAACCAAGAGGATTAAACCATTACACAAAATGTAAAAAAGATAGTGTGAGTAAATATTTACCATTAAGGAATTTTTTTATTTTCTGGTTGTATCAATCCTGGTAGGTAGAATTAGCATGAATGATGATTTTTAACATGGATTAATAACGTAGCCTGATTGAAACGTACCCTGATTCTACATTTCCATGATCCAGAATGGCTATGTCCCATAATGATCTGAAGATAGATCACGATTTTATCTCATCGGTTGAAAACTATATATTTTGGAATGACCTTTTTCTTAAAACCTTGCCCAGTGCCATGTATCGCCTGAGATCTTGGGACCAAATGGAAGCATCACAAGATCAGTTTGGATAAAGAATACCCTTTGAGCCATTTGATCGCATCTTTCCTAATGCCCATCCCACCGTCTCCCAATTACAGCGTCCTGGTCTCAACCAGCCTTCCTGTAGGCTGTAAACAGTAGCCCAGTTCAGGTGGATGTTAAAGATCTCATGGTGCTATTTGAAAAGGAAAGGGAGTTTCTCCTTATGTCCTGGTCAACAATTACCCAAATAAAATTGTTCACTCATTTCTTGGCTGTTGGTGGGACACTAAGCAAATTGGATGCTGCGTTTGCCTACAAATACAGTCACTACACTTGACAATAAAATCCTGTGAAGCACTTTGAAATATGTTGTTGATGTAATAAGATGCTAAATCAAATTCAGGGATTGTTATTATTATGCTCTCTGTTGGTCTCTTTCCCTCTTTCAGTGTCTCCCAAATCTCTCTCTCTCACAAATAACAGGTTATTTTACTGGTATGAGTTCTTCATTTGTGGTATTGTTATGGTTAAGGATCTTCAGTGCCTTTTAAATGGCACAGGTTATTGTTGCATTTTACTGTTAAATGATTTTATAAAATGGTTGCCATACGTGATTGTTTGTAATGACAGATTTGTGAACAAGAACGTCAACAGAAGGAGATGACATCTCTTCTTAATACTTTTGAAGAGAGACTATTGGATCCCCAGAAATACTTGGTGGACTGGCACAACTTGTCATCTAATCAAAGTGCAGAATTCCAGGAACTGGTGGAGAAGTTGGATGCAGAAGCCGCCAAGCAATTGAAAGCCTTTACCTTGCACCTCAGTCATAGTGCCGTCACCAAACATCGGCAGATCAAAGCCTTACTTGTTCAGGAGCTGACTAATCTTGGGGTGGTCAAGAGTTGTTTCCAACAAATAGGGGAGGAGCAGGAGCGGGAGATCAATATTCTACGTGAGAAGGAAGGAAAACAAGAGGAGGAAGAAGAACGAAATAGTCGGGAATCCCTGGAGAAACTTAGGAAGGAGCTACTGCAGCAGCTGGCTTCAGAAGCTGAGCAACAGAAATCCATGAAGCACCAGGGGCGGTTGCTTTTTGAGTAAGTGGTCTTGAAAATAACAAATACGAAATAGTTGTCTCCAAACGCTTCACTTTAAAGCATGGTGACTCCGCGCTTTGTGGGTGAAAATGTTCACAAAGGGCAAAATACATTTTCACAAGTACAGTCGTCCTGAGAAAAGAAACATAAAATTAATAAATTGTGAGCTACATTGTCAGATGATTAATCATCTTCACTTCCAAGCCCTATTTTGATGCAGTGAAATTACTTCTTATTCAACCTGATTTTTTCATTATTTTTTCTTATTTATTATTTTTCAATTCTTTAATGTCATTTTTCTTTAATTAATGTTCATGAATAGAGCCTGAATACTTTCACAGTCACATTGACCCAGACTGCACTTAATTGTATGAAATAACCACACAGTTAGATAAGATGCCGTTCGTCTGTTGAAAGTGGGCTTTGGGAAAACAATTGCAGTCAAACTCTTGTTATTAACAAGCTCTGTGTTACAAAGTTCTCACAAATGTCACTAGTCCCAGCTGAAGCTTTGTCAGTAGATATCCCAAAACTCTATCATGTTGAGCTCCTAATGAGGACAAAATTTGTGGAAAGATTTTAAAGCGAATCTTACTTTGGAAGTTTTGCTGCAGTTTTTGTTTTTAAAAAGAGCTTCAAAAACCAGACTGAATTTAAGAACTTACAATTTACAATTTTGCTCAATCTTAACTTTTAAGACAGTGTGATCTTAAAGACTAAAACTAAATAGTCAATTCACTTTGCAGTATATTTTGTGAAACGCTTTGAGATGTCACAATGAAGTGATAAGGCGCTATATCAAATGCAAGGATTATTATTATTATTAAAACTAGGTGGAGGTTTGGGGCTCTTGTTCCTGATAGTCTAACAATGAGGTTGGATAATGGCTAAGTTATTTTAAGTTTTGTGATATTTCATTTGATTATATTTAATTGGGGTCAGGAAGAAATTATGCAGAACTTTTCCTCTCGAGATTAGTAGGTGCATTCTTGGAGTAGATTGACCAAGAACTAGGGAAGGAATTGATTAAATTTAAGTTAATGATTGGCTTTTTCTTGTTTTATATTGTTCTTATGTTCTTGCACAATAATAAAATATTATCAGTTTATAATGTACTCTTATTGCTTCTTACATTCTAAAGCAGGGATTTACAGTGCGGTTGCAAAGAATTTGACTTCACATTGAACAGAGAGACATTAATCCTGCTTTTACTTCAACCCAACCTCTGTGCCCTCTATTTGATGTGATTCAAATATATGTTGGGAACAATAACTAGTACTGAACGCATGAACATTGCTGTCAACTTTGATTTGGATTTGAAACCATTCCTGATCGATATGAGGCTTACATTGCCATACATTTTATGTTTTGTGAGCACTTGAAAGAAATCAATATTGGGTTCCAAAACTGAATTATTCCATGGCTAGAATAGACCATCTTTTCCTGGTTCTTCTTAAATCCATTGTATCTTGTATTGGGAGTTCCATGAAGCGCCTGTAATCTCTGAAATTTATATCAATATCTGTTGCATCAACAACAGCAGCAAAAAAAATGAAAGTCCGGTTAGAATTAGATGCCAACATGCCCCCTATCTTGTGAAACTTTAAAGCAAATAGTTTATGCTATTCACATAGTTATAAAAAAAAAGGGGGAAACTACACAATAATCGTATGATTAGATTTTCACCTCCATAGTTTTCCCCACAAACGATGCCTGAATTTCTGGATAATATGGTCTGTGGCACTTCCAATCTTGTGCTTGTTAACAGTTTGCATTGATTTAGACCAGTTCAACTTTCATATGCAAAATGAGAGATGTTGTAGAAGCAGAATCAATAGGGATGTTTAAAAGAGAGGTAGACGGATATTTGAGCAGTGGAGGTATTAAGGGGTATAGAGAAAGAGCGGGACATTGGGATTAAAACAATCTGCCAAAATGTAGTAAACTGGTAGATTAGGTTTGATGGTTTGAATGTCTTCCTCATTTCAAACGTGATTGAAATGTGTTTTTAAAATAAGAATGAATAGAACTACTACTGATAGACATTAGCTGTCAGCATTGCAAATACAATTGGTTTCATTGTTGATACCATTATTTGTTTATTGTTCACCAAATCCCCCTGAGAAAGTATCAAGAACAGTGAATTGGCCAAATATTACTAGAGTAATATCTATTGCATTTTTAAAATATTTTAAAGATTTAGATAAAGAATTCAATCGGTGGCTATTGGTTCTGTACTTTGGAAACCATAGAAATTCACAACACAAAAGAAGGTCATTTTGCTCATCGGGTCTGTGCTGGTTTCTTTAAGAACAATTCTTTCAGTCCCATTTTCCTTCCCTTTCCACATATCCCTGTAATTTACTCATTTTTAGATCTGTCTGTCTGTCTTTGACTTCCTTCCCTCCCTCCCTCCCTTCCTCCCTTTATGGCAATATGGATTCTGCCTCAACCACTACTCCCAGCAGGACATTCCATATCTTAATCTCCCTATTTACTTGTTTGCTAACCATCTTAAATCGATGCCCTCTTATCATTGATTCATACCGACCAGTAGAAATAATTTCTCCCAACAGATTCTATCAAAGCCTCTCATAAAAGATCTCTATCAGATCCACCCTTCAACCTTCTTTGTTCCACTATGACATATGATTATTTCCTCACCATTTATGGATTGTAGATATGACTTTCATTTAGCTGTGGCCCTGTGATTGCTCTTTGGGATTTTGGTTTACTTCTGTTTCCTTTTAAAGAACCATATTGATGAGTCCACTCACACTCTCTGAAGACGATACACAGAAGCTGATGCTGGAGCATTTTGCTGGTTGCTCTCAAATGGACAATGGCTTAGCTCTACCTCGGCTGCAAGAAAGAGCCAAACTCCAAGCTCGTCTGATCGAATGTCGGAAAGCGAAGCTGGAACAACTAGAGCAGAATTGCAAGAAATGGGTGAGACATCTCTGACATCTGTGATAAACTGGCCTATTTTTAATGATGGCTGGAGCAGTAATGAGCTACTTTTAGCTTTTGCATATTTATAACATGGTCAGCTGGAGTCAGAAGCAACAAATTATAGTAAATAAAATGTATTCCTCAATACTGAACAATAGAACATTTCAGCACAGAAGGAGGCCATTCAGGTTCTCTCAAAGAGCAATCCATTTAGTCCCATTCTCCTGCCATTTCCTCAGACCCTTTTATATTTCACATTTTCAGATATTTTCTCATTGCCTTTTGTCGCAATTTTGCATAGCTGTCTGGTTTCAACTTATCCCAAACTCTCTCTAAGTTGCTCACTTTCAAAGGAAAACATCTTGTTCATCTGCCTCAAGATCTCTCCTCTTGGCCTGTGTGGAATGTGCTGATTTTTGCTACAAGGTACTGACCAGAATATGGAATTAAATTGAGATTTTGTTTCAAAGTCTCTACTTTAGAAAGGGAAAAATATGAATAATGTCTTACAAAGATGTTTCCAATTACAGTATAATAGTTTAATTAATAAATTACTATAGATACAACAAAGGATGTAAAGAGTTGAGTAAAAGATAGAACTTGAACATAAGGATCAATGTAGTAAAGGATGATTTCAGAGAGACTTTCTTCAAAAACAGACTTTTATTGTCACAGTTTGTATCCACATTCTCTCTCTCACTCTCTCTCTGTTAGCCTGAAGGGTGTTTCTCCATTTCTTTGCTTCACAATTAAGTGCTTTTCCCAGTTTTGCACTCGCAATCTCTACTCATTCTTTGAATCTTTAAACCTTAACAAACCATTTTAATTTGTGAAGTGTTCAGTTTGACAGAGCCTCTGAGCCTCACTTTTATTGAATTTGTGAGCTATTTGTTGTTTAATTATAGCATAAAATGTTGGTTTGTTCAGTAATATTCAGGTCTCTAAGTGGCTTTAAGGAAAAGCGCTGCACAGGTACATTTAAACAATGTGTTATTTTATCCATTCGGGACATTAGCAACAGCACTGCATTAGCATATACCAATGTGTTTGTCTATGTTTCACAGGTTTCTGGTACAGATAATGATTAGTTTTTTCTTCAATCTTGCTTTGGTGCCTGTGCAGTTTCTGTGATGGACTAATAGCAATGAAGCCTCATTTGTAGACTGGCGGTTTGCTCTCTGCTTTCTTTTATTTGTACTTCACCAGTTTTGGGAAATTGCAATTAGCCCTTTGGCAAACATCACAAATTAAACAGTATTCACTCCTGGGAGTTGCAATCAGTACATCTACCTCAGTTTGCACTCATTGCAAATTAGACCTTAGATCTGTGTTTCTATTGGAGACGGTGTGTTCATTTTGCTGTTATTTTAGCAAGCTACCTTTCTAAGCCACCAGTTTTCCAGTCTTGAACATGTATTTTATGACCCATTGCACCCTTGAATCTGTGTCCTCTTGCTTTGTTACCCTGGAACAACCAAAACTATTGTTCTTATTCCATCTTAGAACCGTGACTATTATTGATCACCTGTTGCTCACTAATTACACTGTAATAATGTGCTAAGACCAGTACAAGACAACAAAATGTCCTTTAACCAAGGCAATCAATACCCTTTTCCTGTCCAGAAATCGAGGTTAGAGCAGATGTTAACTTTCTGCAGTAATTTAACTTGCTTCAGGGAAGAAATAACCTCAGCCTAAATCACAACAGAAAGCAACGCATGGAGACCCAACATATAAAATATTTACAAGAACTGTAGCACTGAAGAGTCTTGTATTGAAACATGTTTGTGCTTGGAGTTTTCTTACTGTGACAACTGCAATGATTTCATTTAAAAAAATACCACAGGAAAAGTGGTTCAACTTTGGCTAACTAGAGAAGTTAGGGAAAGTATAAAATTAAAAGAAGAGGCCTATGATACTGCCAGAAAGAGCAGTAAACCTGAGGATTGCGAGGGCTTTAGAGAACAGCAAAGGAAAACCAAGAAACTGATTAAGAGGGAGAACATGGAACATAAAGACAGATTGTAAGGGTTTTTACAAGTACATAAAGAGGAAGAGACTATCAAAAGTGAATGTGGGTCCATTGCAGGCAGAGACAGGAGAAATTATATTGGGGGAATAAAGAAATGGCAGAGTCATTAAACAAATATTTTGCTTCTGTCTTCACGCTAGAGGACACTGAAAGCTTACCGAAAATAGAGGGGAACCTGCAGGCTAATGTTAGTGAGGAACTTAAAGAAATGAAGATCAGTAAAGCAATAGTACTAGAGAAATTGATAGGATTAAAAACCGATAAATTCCCTGGACCTAATGGCCTGCATCCTAAGGTTTTAAAAGAGGTGGCTGCAGAGATAGTGGATGCTTTGTTTTTGATCTTGCAAAATTCTCTGGATTCTGGAATGGTTCCCATTGATTGGAAGATCGCAAACGTAACGCCGCTATTTAAGGAGGGTGGGAGACAAAAAATGGGGCTATAGACCAGTCAGTGGTAGGGAAAATTCTAGAGTCCTTAATTAGGGACGGCGTCATGGGGTACTTAGAAAATCATAACATGATTAGGCAGTCAACATGGCTTTATGAAAGGGAAATCATGTTTAACAAATCTTTTAGAGTTTTTTTGAAGATGTAATTAGCAGGTTAGATAGGGGGGAACCAGTAGATGTGGTGTATTTGGATTTCCAGAAGGCATTCGACAGAGTACCACTTAAAAGGCTGTTGCACAAGATTAGAGCCCATGGAATTAAAGGTAATATATTAGCAGGGATTGGAGAGTGGCTAACAGGAAGAAAACAGGGAGTAGGGATAAACGGAACCTTCTCAGATTGGCAGGATGTGACTAGTGGAGTGCCACAAGGATCAGTGCTTGGGCTTCAATTATTTACAGTCTATATCAGTGATTTAGATGAGGAAATAGCACTTAACTTATCTAAATTCGCAGACGATACGAAAATAGGTGGGGGAGTAAGCTGTGAGGATGACACATGAAGAATGCAAAGGGAAACAGCAGGATAGGTGAGTGGGCAAGAAGGTGACAGATGGAGTATAACGTGGGAAAGTGTGAAGTTATTCACCTAGGTAGTAAAAATAGAAAAGAGGATTATTTTCTAGAAGGGGAGAGACTAGGTAGTATTAGTGTTCAGAGGAATTTGGGTGTCCTTGTACACCAGTCACAAAAAGTTAATATGCAGATACAGCAAGCAACTAGGAAGGCTAATGCCATGATGGTGTTTGTTGCAAAAGGGTTAGAGTACAAGAGTAGGGAAGTCTCGCTGCAGTTGTATAAGGCCTTAGTGAGACCGCACCTAGAATACTGTATGCAGTTTTGGTCTCCTTATTTAAGAAAGGACATACACACCTTAGAGAGAGTGCAGCGTAGATTCACTAGGTTGGTTCCTGGGATGAGGGGTTGACCTATGAGGATAGGTTGAGTAAACTAGGCCTAAATTCTCTAGAATATAGAAGAATTAGTGGTGATCTTGTAGAAACCTATAAGATTCTTAAGGGTCTTGACAGGGTAGGTGCCATGAGACTGTTTCCCCTGGTTGGAGAATCTAAAACTAGGGGTCATAGTCTCAAGATTAAGGGTCAGCCTTTTCAAACTGAGTTGAGGAAACATTTCTTCACTCAGAGGGTAGTGAATTTGTGGAATCCTCTACCCCAGAAGGCTGTGGATGCTCAGTCCTTGAACATATTCAAGACTGAGATTGATATATTTCTAAAGGATAGACGGATTAAGGGATATGGGGATAGAGCGGGTAAATGAAATTAGGTTAGAAGATCAGCCATGACCTTATTAAATGGTGGGGCAGGCTCGAGGGGCCGAATGGCCTACTCCTGCTCCTACGTCTTATGGTCTTATGGTCTTATTTAACCCTCGGCCAGTGCTAAGCATAAACAGGTCTCCTTCAGAGATGGGTAAGGAATTGTGTGCTTGATATTAGTCTCTTCTCTTTAATACTGCCAAAGTAGCTAAACATTAAATTAATACAGTATATGCATTTGCAGACAAAATTCCTGTGAAGCGCTTTGAGATGTTTTGACAGAGTGATAACGCACTATATAAAATGCAAGGATTATTACATTTTTAATTTGAGATTGGTCTGTTCCTCCAGGGGATAAGAGTTGTCACCTGAACACATTTTTGTTTTAACATGAAAAACATTGCTGTTCCATCTTTACTCTGCGTTATTTGGATCATATCTCCTTTTTTATATGAAGGTATGGTGAACAAAATGGGGATCTCAAAAGTAAAGTGAAAAATATGAATAAAGGAATTGCATTTAAAAGAGGCAGTAAAACAAAAGCCAACCATTCACTTGTTCTTAACATCAATCATGACATATATAGCCTCTTCTCTTTTTTAAGATAGACTTGGAGTGCAATTTTCTCAGACATTACTGAAAGTTCTCTGGAGCGAGAGCGTAGAAGTTGTTCAATGTACCTTTGGTTCTGATGGAGTGCAGGGGAAGAATGGGAAGTTTTGATGTGGAAACAAGTGCTTTCTCCTTTGGGGAGGAAAAGACTCAACGATTAGTGAAGGTTGTAAAATTTTGGAGGGTCCATTTGGAAACACCTTATAAGTATATTTTAGCAAATTGCTATCTGTTTGTTGTGTAAGTGGATGGCTTTTTGAAAATTATAGCAAGTAAAAATGCCAAGCAAATTCGCAGCAGGATTGAGTTAGAAGTACTTTTTCTGAGATTTGTTGAGCTAAATTCTGAACTTTCTGCAGCAGGTTCTCAGCGGCATGCAGCTATTTTTTATAAAGAAAAGTACTGACTGACACCAAGGGTGGGAGAGCAGATGACAAAGAGGGAAGAGAAGGAATTCATAGGAGGGTTGCCGATGGGGGTGGGGTGGGTGGGGTGGGGGTTGGTAATAGGGGGCACATGGTGCTGAAAGCTAATATCATGGGATGTGTGATTCTTGCAACTCTAAGAAGATGATTCCATTCTGATAATAGTTGATTACTTTTGGAACTGGGTTCATGTGGAATGCACATGGACCTATGATTTTAAATCGCTTCAACTAAACTGTCTGATTGAATTCCAGATTATAAAAGATACTAACTATATAAAATAATGTGTACTAACCAGCAGCAGATGCAGCGTGATGAAAGTATGATTGACCGAACTACAATCAGCTCCCCCACTCCCCAATCCAGCCACAAATAATGATAATAATAATAATAGCCCTTGCAATTGATTGATAAAGTGCCTTTCAGATCGGAATCGCATGAAAAAAAGTGCTTCACAGGATTTTACTGTAGTGATTGTGCATTTTGCAGGTGAATGTGGGAATCAATTTCCACAAAGCAATGTCCCACAAACAGCCATAAGTGAATGACCAATTTTATGAACAACTGGTGAATCCCCTCCAAGATGTGATAAATCACATCTAGTTGAGAAATGTTGCCACTTAAGTTGTCTGATTAACAATACCTCTATGCCAATACCCTACTAATGCATAACTGTGTAAACTTACACAAAATAATAAATAAAGCTTTTCATGAGTTATCTTTCATGTGGGACCTATAAAAGGTGCTTGGAATAGAAGTCATGGAATGTTTTCAGAGTCTTGTAAATTGTATTTCAGATAATTTATAATGCTTACGTTATAATTATTGAGGGACGTTTGTGTGCATGCTTTGTTTTGTAGCACAAGAGAAAGGCTAAGAGACTGAGGTCTGGTGAGACTGCAAAGCTACGGGCTCTGATGGAACATATTAAGGATAGAGTTGAACTGTACAAGGAAGAAAGTGAACATGTTACAGAAGAGGTGAGCATGGTAAGTGGCATCAAGGGAATAGATATTGGTAACCTGTACTTTGGACTCTTTATAGACAACAATAGAGTTTACTGGGCTGGAATAACAGGGAAACACATACAGAGGAATTTCCATCTGTAGCTGGCACACATATGTGAAATACACAGTCTTGCTTGGATACTCTTAAGCATGGTGATGAATTTTTGTACATGTTAGACACTTAGCTGACCCCGAAAAAACTTGGCAGCTTAGGCCAAATTTGTTGATACTTTAAAACTCACAGAATGTACTCCACTAGTTGTGTTGGGATTGCTCACTCTGACGACAAACCCACTTCTTTCTGTTCTTGGCACAGTGTGTCAATTCACTATTCCATTGGGTCATCCTCGCTGTCTTGGTTTCATTAAATGCCAACTCCCTACTATTTCCTTTGTAGACTGAGGAAAACAGAAACTTAAAAGAATTTAAAGAAAATAGACTTCAAAATTACAATTGAATTTAAGAATTTACCAAATTCACAAGATAATGTCATAGAACTTCAGACACATAACCCACAACAAGTAATGGTAGTGATCTGACAACCTGGACGTTAGCCATACATTTAGAACATAAGAATTGCTAGACGAAAGAAGACCAAGGTCCATCGAGTTCGCTTTCAACCATCCTGGCAGTGGCATGCATGTGTCATGTCTCAAACTATATACTGTATCCCAAGATAGAATTTCTTAAAAGAAATCTATCTAATTTACTTTTGAAAGAAAGAATCAACACCTTCTGCTTCCACCGTCTCCTTAGGGAGCCTGTTCCATTCGTTTACTACTCGCTCACTGAACTGGAGTTTCTGTAGATTTGTTTTGAGTTTACCCCTCTTCAATCACAGGCCATGTCCTCTGGTACTACTGTTCTGGATGAGATAAAACGACTTATATTATCCAGTCTACAGTCTACATTATACAGTTCCTTTAGAATCTTAAAAAGCACTATCATCAGCACGGGAAGCTGGAACTACACCGCAATTCTGTAACAGTGGATCTACAATTAATAATAATAATAATCCTTGCATTTCATATAGCACTTTTCATGTCTTTTAGACGTCTCAAAGCGCTTCACAGAATGTACTGTAAAGTGAATTGACTGTGTATTTGTAGGTAAAACATGTCAATCTCACACAGCAGTGTCCCACAAACAATCGTGGGTTTAGTGACCAAATTATTATTGCTTTTTTTTCTTGAGGGATTATTATCAGGAGTATGGAGTAAGGAAACTTGCCCAAAGTTTTGTCCTGCCGGAATCGAACCCAGGTCTCTTGCTTGCAAGGTGAGTGCTCTAACCACTGAGCTACAGGACTCCAATTTACCCATGTTGAAAGAAGACCCATGCATTATTGAGATGCTTAATAACAAGATTATCCTCAGATACAGCTCGATAGATCCCAAATGGTCTGACTCCCAAATACTGCAAACTGCGTTTGGCGTATGTTAAAATCTGTATTTTATCAGCGGCATTTGCTCAGCACTGAACAGGATTGATGGCTTCCAGAGAGTGGGACCTGTTTAAATCAGTTTGATCTGTTTTTCTGTGAAATAATACCGAATGTGGAGCAGCAGCCACATTCCAACTTTGAGAGACATAGGAGCTTGTGAGATAAAACCTCTTATCTTTTCACTTTGATAGTACATTTACAGATATAGTCAGTGATGTGAAGATGAACTTCAAAATACCATCTGATCCATTTTAATAAAATCTTGGATTATTTTGGACACATTTCCTTTCCTGGATAATCCAGGAAATTGCATCTGCTGTTGTGTGCAACTGAGATATGCCACTTGTGGTTTGTTTTTAAATATTGGTGATCATCTGTTTTAAAAAAGCTTTTCTGTTTAAAAAAATGTAGTTTTACAGGGCATCCAAATAGCACCATTTGATCTATAATGTTGTAAATAAAGTATAAATCCTGGACTGAATTCCCAGTGTCCCCCCCCACCCCCCCCAAAAAAAGTGTGCCTCAAGCATTCTTTGGAGGGTTGCCGTATGCTGAAATCCAATACCATGCCCAAGGGTTGGGGATCTCAGGGTGTGCATTGCAATACTGCTGGGGCTGACTGTTGTTGGGAGGTAGGGGGTGGTAGGTAAATGTTCAGTTGTAAAAGTACTTGGGTTGCCCTCTAAAAATGAGACTAATAGACATTTGATTGATTACCATCTCTACTCTTGTGTTCAATTGCTCTCTGCCACCAACTGACCAATATTCTGTTGCATGGGTATGAGACTTATAATTATAATAACAATCCCTATAACAATCCTTGAATAAAGTACCTTATCCCACTGTTGAGAAGTCTCAAAGTAATTCACAGGATTTTACTGTAAAGTGTAGTCACTGTATTTTGTAGGTAATCTGGCAGCAAATTTGCACACAGCAGTGTCCCACAAACAGCCATGAAACAAATTTTATCGTTGGGAATGTTGGCCAGGACAATTAGAGAAACTCTTCTCTTTTCAAATAATGCCGTGGCACCTTTAACATCCACCTTTAACATCCACCTTTAACATCCACCTGAACAGGCAATACACAGATGGAACCTCGGTTTAACATTCCAATTGCAGCTGAAAGTGGGGGTTTGGTTGAAGTCTACAATTTCCTCTTTTTAGGGTTGCTTATGCATAACAGATAGCTCTGCAGCCAACTATGTGCAAAATATATGCCTTTAACTTGGCACAGTTTTTCCCCACAAGTGCTTTTGTTTTATTCTGAATAGGACATATCAAGTGGGCATCTTTTTCGGAAAGATGTTTCTCATAATTCTATTAATCTTAAGATCTAAGCTGTGCCAAAGAGAGTTGCTCTCCCCCATTGAAAGAAGTTTATGTGGCTAGAGGGGAATTGGCTTCACAGTGAGTCCTGCATTTCCACTGATTTCCATAGATCATTAGATCCGCAAGATGCTATATATGACGGGCGCTGTGAAATGCCACTGGCTATTACCTGTTGTCCTTTCCCTCTGGATATTAGCATTTATTCAGCCATCTGTATCAGGAGTAAAGATATTGTGGGACGGTTTTGACAACAAGACTCTCATTTTATATTTTACGAAATGAATTATAATTTTAACAGAACAAATTACAACAACACAAAAACAAAATTACATTTGTATAGCGCCTTTCACATTGGGAGGATGTCCCAAGGTGCTGGACAGACAGCATTACGGACCTGAGCTGTGGGTCGGGGTTGGGGAGGGTGGAGGGCAGGAGGGATGCAGAGAGATCGATAGACCAGTTGAAGAGGAGGGTTTTGAGATGGGTCTTGAAGTTGGCAAGGGAGGGGATGAGGCAGAAGGACTGGGGGATGGAGTTCCGGTGGAGGTAGAGTGGCGGAAGGCCCGCCCGCCAGTCGTGGGGCGAGCGAAGCGGGGGACGTGAAGCAGACCAGAGCCTGCTGAGTGGAGGGAGCGAGCAGGATGGTAGGGGGTTAGGAGGACGCAGAGGTAGGGGGAGCAAGAACATGGAGGCTTTGAAGGTGGGGACCAGGATCTTGAACTGTATCCTCTGTGTGATGGGGAGCCAGTGGAGTTTGGCAAGGATGGGGGTGATAGGGTCACAGAGCCTAGTGTGGGAGAGGGCACGGGCTGCAGAGTTGGGCAATGTTGCGGAGTTGGAGGAAGGCAGAGCAAGTCATGGTGCAGATGTCGGGTAGAAAGTATAGTTGAGGATCAAACAAGACCCCAAGGTTCTGGACTCACTTAGCTCTGGTCGAAGAGGAGGCTGTGGGATGGAGTTCTAAAAGATGCGGCAAAGAGGCTGAAGGCCCGAGCTGGGCGGGGTCATACGTTGATATGGCACCTTGCCAGGCTCCACTGGCTCCCAATTACCAAAAAGATTGATTTCAAGATTCCACACTCATTTTCAAATCCTTTCATGCCCTCGCACCTCCCTATCTATCTGACCTGCTTACCTCCCCAATCTACCACCCACTGCCTTCGCTCAGCTGTCTCCAGTCTCCTGTTTGTCCCTCGTGCCCTCCGCTCCACCATCGGTGGCTGTGCCTTCAGCCACTATGCCCCAAAACTCTGGAACTCTTTCCCTCAATCCCTCCGCCTTGCTCCATCCCTCCTCACTTTCGAATCACGCTTAAAGACGTTTCTTTTTGATCGTGCTTTCAGTCACCACCCCCTCTCCCTGTCACCCTGGCTCGGTGTTAGACTCTGGCACTGTCAAGCGCTCCGGGATGCTACTTCACGTGAAGGGCGCTATATAATTGCAAGTTGTTGTTGTTGTGTCATGTATGGAACGAATAATAATGTAGTGAAGCATTGCAACGTGAAGTGGTAGAATGCGTCTTTTCACTGTTAATTGCCCATTTGCTGAATTCTCGATCTAGACTGTGCTAGAGAGGGAGGGATGAAGTGATGTTTCCTCACAAGATTAGTCGGAGAAGTAGATGCTTGGGATCAGATCACAAGCTCTACCTCTTGGTCAACAATCAGGGAAGAAATAAATTATCAAAAAAAGACAACAGGTTTAATGATCATATTAAACAAATGTGTTTACCCCCAAATATCGGTAGCATATTAACAACTGTGTTAAATCTTACACAGATTTAAAATCTGTGTGAGGACTGGTGCATTCACCAGTGGAGTCCTGTAGCTCAGTGGTTAGAGCACTCGCCTTGCAAGCGAGACACCTGGGATCAATTCCAGGCAGGGCGAAACCTTGGGCAAGTTTCCTTACTCCACACGCCTAATAATAATCCCTCCAAAAAAAACAATAATAAATTGGTCATATTCAATCCACGACTGTTTGTGGGACACTGCTGTGCGCAATTGGCTGCTGTGTTTCACCCACAAACATACAGTCAATTCACTTTACAATATATTCTGAGAAGCGCTTTGAGACATCTAGAAGACATGCAAAGCGCTATATCAAATGCAAGGATTGTTATTATTATTATTATATTCAACCTTATCTTCAGGAAGTACAAGTCCAGGAATCTTAAACTCTTTAGTGATTCCATAGTCTCAGCCATG